CTGAGCTCGGCAGAAACGGGGTCCCGAGAGGTGAAAAGTCCTCGCTCCTTCCCAGCGGCCCTCCCGGGGAGACGCTTCAGTTTAGTCTGAACGTTTGTTTTGCCTTTTTTTTTTTTTTCATACATTTTAAACATATAATTAACGTACAACGAAATGCAGGCTTTACGACCCACAGTTCGTCGTTTGGACAAATGCGTACACCCTTGTAACCACCCAATCAACACATTAACATCACCTCAAAAAGTGCCCTTTGTGCCCCCACTGAAACCAACCCCATCTCATTCTGACTTCTGTTGCCGAGTTAGAGTTCCCTTTTTCTAGAATTTCATAAATAAATTTCATGTATGTACTCTTTCAAGGTTTTTTTGTACTCTTCTTTATTGCTTTTGCTTCCCACCCTTGTTTCTTTAACTTGCTGAAGAGGACCACAGTTTGCCTATTCACCAGTTGATGGGCATGTTGGTTGTTCCCCGTTTAGGGCTATAACTCAAAATGCTTCCATGACCATTCGTGTACAAGTTCTTCTGTGAACCATTTCCATTTCTCTCTGGTAAACACGAAGGAGGAAAGGTTAAGATGGGTGCAAAGTCTCAAGTCTTTTCTTGCCTCTATGTGCTTTATGGCAAGTTGTCTCCTTACATACGGGCCCATTTCTTTTCTAGGCAAAGGGCAACTAGCTCGTGTCTGTTGTTCATAGGAATTGAAGAGTCTCCCACAACGGTCTACTTTGACCACACTCTACCTGCTGTAGCATTTTGCAAGTAAGCGTCCCCTATTTTCATCCTATAATGAACTTATAAAAATCTTAAAGTCTAAGGGTGCCTGGGTGGCTGAGTCGGTCAGCCATCCGACTTTGGCTCAGGTCATGATCTTGCAGTTTCTTGAGTTTGAGACCGTCACCTGGTTCTGTGCGGATAGCTCAGCCTGGAGCCTGCTCCAGATTCTGTGTCTCCCTCTCTGCCCCTCCCCTGCAGACACTCTGACTCACTCTCTCTCTCAAAAATAAATAAACATTAAAAAAAAATTTTTTTTAATCTGAAACTTTGGCTTTTTAGAAAAGCTGAAGATTTCAAATGAAAGAAACATTTGAGCGTAACTGTATTCATGCCATGCAATTGTTTGCCATGCAATCTGTGGGCATTGAACAACCAGGAACATTTTCAGCACTGATAAGAACCAAAGTAGAACTCTTAATGAATAACTAGCTCTTAAAAAGCCATAAAGAGTCCACATTACCCAAAATAAGAAAGCAAACACACATTAAGACCATTATAAAATAGAAAATGAAGTCAGATTCCAGTTGAACCAAAAACTCAGAACTTGAAGTCATTTTGGATTATTTCCTTTTAAAAAGATCAGCTTAGTTCCCGTGAGTCTTCCAAATAGTTTTGACTGCAAAACAGTAAAGTCATTTTTAATATTTAATCATATTTGCACTTAATTTGCTTCTACATACATACTTCCGGGACCTTCAGTCACTATTGAAATCTCATCCTGTTTAAATCACAACTCACACTGAAGAGTTGTGTGTGAAATTCTCTTGCTCAAAGCCTGGACAGGCTGAACCTTGCCAATTGCAAGTATACAACTAAAGATAAATAATGAAAAAGTTCAACCAATTTGCTTGATTCTTTAAACAGTAAACAGGCCCCGGGGTGCCTGGGTGGCTCAGTCGGTTGAGCTTCTGACTTCGGCTCAGGCCATGATCTCACGGTGAGTTCCAGCCCCGCGTCAGGCTCTGTGCTGACAGCTTAGAGCCTGGAGCCTGCTTCAGATTCTGTGTCTCCCTCTCTCTCTGACCCTCCCCCATCCATGCTCTGTCTCTCTCTGTCTCGAAAATAAAATAAAACATTAAAAAAAATTTAAAACAAAACAGTAAACAGGCCCTGAGCGTCTCCTCAGGGAGGTGACCCCAGATTCAACACATCCTGAATATACGATCTTCAGTCTAATGCTCTCCCAGCTGCGCTATTTCGGCTGCTCAACACATCCTGAATATAAATGAAATGAAATCCCAGGTCCTGATCACCCATCAGGCCTAATATAGAGCTGGCAATACTATCCACACCAGTGTATTTTTAACACGGTAATAATGAACCAGATGAGGAAGTTAAATTTACATCTATAATCTAAAAGGCCATAATTTTAAAGTAAAAAAAGCAATCTACACTATGGTGTCTACTATGCTGAAAAGATACCTGAGATGAGCTCATACTGGAATGAAGTAGAAAATGCACCAAATAATAATGATAGAAGAACGCAGGGCCATAGGTGACATTACTACCTTTTCAATTTTTTATATTATGGTTATTGTTGACAGGAAAACAAATTATAAAGGGTTCAAGAATGAACATGTACTTTAAACTGTAAATTAAAATAAATTTTTATTCAAAGCATCTTTTAAAATTACAGCATGTTTATTCTTATGCTGTTATCTCTGCCAAACTACATCTTAGCCATATGAAGCATAAAACACTTCAAAAATTTGAATGTAAACCACATGTTTAAAACAAAAAGCAGTCTTAACATACCTCAAATTTTAGATGCCAATATATTTTTTCCAAGCATATAGCTTATATCAAAAAAGAACATTTTAAATATTTCTATAGTATGTAGTTGTAATAATTTCTTAAACTTCCAATTATACAAATAAAAAATGTTTGCGAAAATAACTATTATAGTTGACAAAAGCTGACCAAGAAACAAACAAAAACCCTTACTTTTGAAGACTGTAAATTTTATTATCTGTGAATTGACAAGTATTTGTATTTTTAAAATTCCTACTGCCCTTCCTTCTTTAGGTAAGTTCATCAAATTTTAAATTTCCCAAGACTGATGAGTGTTGCTTTTCATAGTTCATTTAAGTCATATTTGAGAGCAAAAAATCTAGAGAAAATGTTGAAACCTAAACCAAGAAAATTCAGATGCTACAGTCTCTCTCCCTGTGCTTATAAGTGCTCCAAGTTAAAATTCTATATACCAGATTACAAACAAAATTCTCAGACCATTACAAATATAAATTCTCTTATTACAAAAAAAAAATCCCTCAAGATTTGTAATTTACTGTACAGAGGAATTACATTTTTAAAGTATGTCCTCGTTCATACACATTATTTGTTACTATCATCTCTCACACTTTTGCTTCCTTCCAAGACATTTACATACCTCCCCTTCCCCATGGCTAGTATTTTAAACTATCTGTGTACTGCAACACACTGGGATTTTTGGATAAAGAAGCCTACATTTTAGATAATGTTTAAACTACATCTGTAGGCTACTACTTCAAAAAAAAAAAAAAAAAAAAAAAAAAAAGGCGCTGAAGAGCCCATATTGCCCTCTATTACTCTTGAGGTCTACTCCAATTAAGCAATCTATCAAATTACCATGCTATGCATGTTATTTAGTTTCTGCTTAAAACAAAAGCATAAATGATGGAGGTTTATGCCTACATAAAGGAGGTGAACTGCTCTGGTCTTGATTTTTCTGTTCATGCCTCAGTACATAAAGTGGTATTTAAAAACTTCATCTATTTGGAAAAATGGCTTAAAACCACCACACAAGTTAACACACTTGCAGCTGAAACTATTCCAGAAACCTACTTATTTGAGTAGCTAATATTTTCTGCAGTGTTTACCTGATAACTAAATTTAGTGAACACAAAATAGCTTGGCATGTTATTCTGAAGAAAAGCAAGAAGGTGGCTTTATGCACTGAAAATATAAATAGGAGGCTTCCATTTGCTAATAATTCTAAACAAGCAATACAATTAAAATTTAGTGTTTGCTAACAAAAGATCTAAAACAGTTCACTACAAAACAACCCTGTAGGTGTCCCTTTTATTAATAAAAATCCAAGTGCCAAATCTCTTACAGGGCCCATAATATATATATAAAAAAATACCAATTACCAAGTTACCTAGACTTTGCAAGATTAATCACTCAATTTCAGCAAATGAGAAATATGCAACGTGCAAAAGCTCCCAAGTTAACATAACAGGGATGCCAAGTGCTTTTCAAACCTGAACATCAGAGTGAGCTGTTAAGCCTCGGAAAGACAGAATAAGACTGATATTATCCAATTCTGAAAATTCTCAACTATTGTGCATCTTGCCAAGATCCTCAAATATCTCTTTTCTTCCAAAGTCCATAACTTAGAACATCTTCCAAAATAGTCAGTTTTCCACTTTTCATTAGGCACACTATTTTGCAATTTAAAAATCTATATCTTACACACATATCTTATACTTTCTGGCTTGCCTCAGTGTTTACAGTATTGTTAAACATACTAATATACATTGTTAAAAAATGATCTTATAAATAATCTATTTCAACGTTCTTTGGCTACATGTACCATTCTGTTTTTTCATACAAGTGTCTTATTCAGAAAGTGCTTCCTGTGAGAACTGCTTCCAATGAATGCATTAAACTTGCAAAATCTAGCTTCCCACAATATGTCCTTTTCTACCCTGTACTAGAAGTCCCATATTTACAAAATATTTTAAACTTTACAACAAATCCATTACCATATAAAAAAAAGTGCAATTCTCTCTCACCCCATATTCTGGGGCAATGACATTCTTCATAAGTTTCTACAGAATAGCAGCCTATGATAAGCAAATAAGGTGCTTAGCTTATGCCCAAGGATCTACTTTTTAAGTACGCTGGGCAGTACTTTTTTGTACAGTGGCAGAGTCAGTGTCGAGCCTACTGGCGGAGCGGCGCCCCGGTCAGGTTGGCGAGCTCTATGAGAGCAAGGGCTCCGTGCAGACGCTCCCGCTGCTCTTGCAGCCGGCGCTGGGCACCGCGCTTCTCGTCGTCCTCCTCGTCAGACTGAAGGTACTCCAGAGGGTCCTGCTGCTCCTGATCAGCTTTCTGCACGAGCTTCCCTTTCAAGGTGGGGGCACGCTGCTCTCTTGTCTCCCAATACCTACATGAAACGCATGCACATTAGCTATTTGTATACACGACCTCCTCAACCCTTTACTTTTCTTTAGAAAACAGGTTCTTTACCACAGTATTGTTTTCTGTGTCTTAGTTTATAAAGTTCTAAAGTGATTCATATACTTTACATATATTTCCCATTATAGAGGGAAAGTTGAGGGACACACTCAGATTTCCAAAACCAAAAACTGGCAGTTCTGGGTCTTATACTCAACTCTCTAATCATAGGTTTTCACCAATTAACTGCCTTTAAGATCAGATGTGAAATGGACTACAGTAAAATACACAAACAGTAGAACAAATGTTGTCTGTCAATTACACCTCAATAAAAAATTAAACAGAGTAGAACAAATAATCATTAGAAAACTATTTATCCTATTCTTCTGACAGAGTTAACTATAAGAAACTTTAAACCCACAAAACGTGACAGATTAGTGTCTACAACACACAGAGCTTATTCAAAAATCTAAGAGGTACCATGATTATTCTATTACAAAACCAACTGATAATTCACAAGAGAAAATATTCTACCTTTTGGTAACTAAAGAAAGGCATATTTAAAGAACAGTACCACTATATACAAAAATGTCCCATACAAAGACCTGCATATCAATGCTCATATTAGCTTTATTTGTAATGGCCAAAAACAACCCAAAAGCCCAGCAATAGGCAAATGAATAAACAAGCTGAGGTGTATCCATACAATGGTGTACTATTCAACAGTAAGAAGGAATGAACCTAGGGTTATATGGTGACAGATGGTAGCTACACTTGTGAGCCAGCATAATGCATAGACTTTGAGAATCGCTATGTTGTACACCTGAAACTAATGTAACATTGTGTACCAATTATACTTCAATTAAAAAAATAAACTAAAAAAAGAAAAAGAAATAAACCATTGACAACAGTCAACAACATGGATGAATCCCAAAATAATTACACTGAATAAAAGAAGCCAGACAACAGAAGTGTATACTGTATGACTCCATTTGTATAAAACTGTAGAAAATGCAAACTAGTTTATAATAACAGAAATCAGATCAGTCTGGGGAGCAGGGGAGCAGGAAAGCTGGGAGGGACAAGAGTGATGACTTACAAAGGGGCATGAGGAAACTTCTGAAAGTGACAGATATGTTCACCATCTTAACTGGGATGATGGTTTCACAGGTGTATACATATGTCAAAATGTATCAAATTGTACACTTTATTGTGTGCTGATTACACCTCAGTAAAGCTGTTTTTAAAATTATACAAAAATAACACAACTATTAGATTTCAGGAAATCCAGACATCTCAAACCTGGAAAAATTTGGGCAATACTCAGAGATACAAAAAAATAAATGCAAACAGTTCAGTATGACTTGAAGGACAACTTGGAACGAAGAATGGCAAAGAAGTTTAACAAGGTCAGCAGGGACCACCAGGCAATGAAGGACTTCGAATCACATGATACCGGGTTTAGACTTTATACTGAGTAGAATCCATTAGTCTGTCATTGAGTAGATGGGAGAATGAGAGGAAAACACAAAGATGACCAACAAGTTTCTGACTTGAGCAAAGTTAGAGCTCATGGGGTGGCAGAGGCCAGCCAGGAGCAAGAGGGAGGGAGGAAGTGACGCAGTAATCCAGACAAACAACGCCTGTCTAAGTGGAGCTTCTAGTCTAACAGGGATGACAGACACTAAACGAATAAATAAATGTGTGATGAAGGTTTTGAAAAAGAAAACACACTGTGTTATAAAAGGATCTATTAAGTTGATCTAACCTTGTTTGTTCTGGAGGTTAGTGAGCAGGTTAGGGAAGAACTTCCTGACGCAATGTTTGACCTCAGTAAGAAATGAAGAATGAGTAGTGGCTAAACGAAGAGGAAAGCAGCATTCCGGGCAGAGGGAGCAGGGGGCACAGAGGCCTGCAAGCCACAGTGAGGGTGGTGCTGACAAACAGGAAGGCCGGGTAGCTGGAGACAGGTTCGAGGCCAGAGGGAGGCAGAGCTAAACAGCACAATGAGGGATTCCAGACTTTTCCTTAGTGCAGAGGAATCTGATGAAGGAGGGGGTGCCCCAAACAGCCAGTGCTGGTTTGTACACAACAGATGACCAGATGACTCCTTAAATCAGAATACCTTTAGAGATACTTTTGCATGCTGGCCCCCTTGTTGCCATTAAAAAAATTCAACCAGGTGCTTTTCAGAACTTTACTTTAGAAGAATCTCTAGCCTATATCCCAGGAATAATCAGCACCTAACTGATATGAAGAAAACAAAGACAGGCTGCATGGTAGAGTACAATTCATATAAAACAATCTTTAAGAATGAGGAAAATTCTTTCTTTTAAAATAAATTGTGGTCTAGGCACTCAGACTAATTAATATCGTGTACTTGTTTTCTATTGCACAAAGATCCTCACACCACTCCTAACAATTCTGTGGTTTAAAGAAATAAAGCACCATTTCAAGTTATTTTATAAAATATGTATAAAAGCAACTTATTTAAAAGGAGAGAACTGTCAAAGCTCCCAGTGTCAGCCCATGTGCAGGGCAGTACTGTGCAGTGGAGTGCAGGGAGAGCCTTACTTCGCCAACCACTCGGCGGCAGCCTGGTTGTCCACAGCCTGGTGCTTACTGAGAGCGTCTGTGGGCTCCTCCCGTTTCAGCCTGGCATAAGGGTGCTTCGGACAGTGGCGGTTTGCATGGGTGAATCTGCTTAGGCAGCCTTCAAAACACAGAGGGAAACACTTATCAGAATCTGGACATCCAGCAGATGTGGAAAATGTTCATTTTCACTGGTATCCAAGAAAAGTGAATTAAGATCATGGGATTTAGCATTCTGTAACTTGGAGGAGAAAAAAAACAACCCTAAGGAGAAGCAAGCAGTGCCTTCACCTTTTGGTCATGGCAATATAAATGCATCAACCCCACCAGAAAGTGATTTATTAGCAAAAATGATCAAAACCTCTGACCCAGGAATTCCATTCTTGGAATCCATCAGAAGGAAACATCCCATAAGATGAACAAAGCTTTAAGGAGGAAGCCGTGTCCCTCAGCTTTGTTGGCAACAAACAAATTTTAAAAACAAATATTCAATATCCAACATTGAGACAATCATAGTGTATATGCTTACGCAAATGAAAAAGCATATAGACATTCATAACAACTGACAACAATCAAGAGAACCACACAACAGCAGCACGAAACTATACTGAATTTCAGGTATAACTATGTAAAAAGGTGCATAAGGAAAACATCTCAAGAAATGTGATAAGAGATTTAGAAAATCACTTACGAAAAGTGGTAAGAAATTACTAACAGTGGCAGTAGCAAGATGGTAAAATCTCCCCCTTTGTTGAAAATTAAGACAATGATGTATTTCTTTCCATTTAATAGTTGAAAAGTTTAAAATCAATTAAAAGCCTACTATAAAGGCTGCTTTTACTTCTATAGATCTTTCTACCACCTCTACCTAAATCTACTATTTTTTTTTCTTTTTTTAAGTAATCTCTCCACCCATTGTAGAGCTCAAACTCACAACCCCAAGATCAAGAGTTGCATGTTCTGCCAACTGAGCCAGCCAGGTGCCCCCTGAATATACTACTACTTTTAATTACCTTTTAATATTTTCACCTAGAAGGAATATTTTATTTAAAAATCAATTATTCCCAGAAAATGAGCACGGATTTCAATTTAGAAAGACAACTTACGATGTTTTATAAAATTTACATCGAAATCTCTCCTCCCAAAAAACTTAAGTAAAAGGTATTTTAGCTTTTAACTCACAACCAGTTCTTACATAAACTTAAGTCTCAACACCATACCATTTTCTGAACAAACAAAAGGTTTCTCTCCGGTGTGAAGACGCTGATGTGTTTTGAGCTGTCCGCTTTGAACAAAGGCTTTTCCACAGTCCGGATAGTCACACAGATAGGGCCTCTCACCTAGGTAGACAAATAGTATATATTATTTCTGAGACAATCATGTAAGAAGAGAAAGGGACAGAGAGAACTGACCTCCATATAGGTCACGACTCCAAAAACAATAAAACATGTCATAGCCTCTACAAAGCTGCAAGTGTTAATGCTAACAACAGCGCTTCCATGCTCCCAAGTAGCTATCCACTTGAAAGCAAAATAATATTTTCGTTAGGCCTTGAGCTTTTAGGCTCCTAGGTTCACATCCTTGAAGTTATCTTTGGCTTATCCTGTCATTTTTCTCCCCATAATCCAAATCACTAGCTCTTGCTAATTCTTTTTTTTTTTTTTTTTAATGTTTGTTTATTTTTGAGAGAGAGACAGACAGACAGCACAAGCAGGGGAGGGGCAGAGAGAGAGGGAGACACAGAATCCGAAGCAGGCTCCAGGCTCCGAGCTGTCAGCACAGAGGCCGACACGGGGCCCAAACCCACGAACCGAGAGATCATGACCTGAGCCGAAGTCAGACGCTGAGCCACCCAGGTGCCCCTCTTGCTAATTCTTTAAAATGTCTCCCACTCCTGATTTCCCATTGCAACTTCCCCACCCCTCCCACCCAGCAGGAACCCTAGCTGGCCTCTATTCTCCACCCCTGCACAGTACTTCTGGAGTGAATGCCATAGAACATTTGCTTTTGTCATACAAACTACCTCCTAAATCACCCAAACCCTACTACACCCCTTGAACAGCTGAAAATTATCTGCTGACTTTTCAGTGGTCCCCTAATATCTGCACTATAGCTACTGCATAAGAGGGCAGGGTTTAATTTTACTTCATTCCATGAGATTCATTCCATCCACAAGGCAGTTAGTTCCTCATGTTGTTGTACTCCTTGAAAATCCAATCTTCTCTGCCCATTCAAATGTTCCCAGTCCTGTAGGCTCTCTCAGTGAATCTCCTTGTACCTCCCTGCTACCTCCAAATAATTGAACTATGTATCCCTTCACTACCTCATAATCCACTGTTATTTATGTATCCTGGGACTCTCCTGACACAAAGATGTATAATACTTTGTATTCCATTGCAATTCATATATACAACACAGTGCTAGGCTTGAGAAAGTGCTCAAAAATATTGTTTAACCATAATTAAAATCATTTTTTGAAAAGTCATTCTGTGATCAACAAGTATGCACTGGTCCTTCCAATATGACTCAGTTAACAGTAACAAGTACTCCCTTAATTTCTCATTATTTAGAAATGTACCAAATGATTGTGATAGACACGCATTAATAAAACAGGGGTATGGGGGTATTTAAAATAGTAAGAGATGGGGCGCCTGGGTGGCTCAGTCAGTTAAGCAACCAACTTCATCTCAGGTCATAATCTCACGGTTGTTTGTGAGTTCTACCCCCAAGTCGGGCTCTGGGCTGTCAGCTTAGAGCCTGGAGCCTGCTTCAGCATCTGTGACTCCCTCTCTCTCTCTGCCCCTCCCCCACTCATGCTCTGTCTCTGTCTCAAAAAATAAATGTTTAAAAAATTTTTTTAAGTTAATAAATAATAAAATAGTAAGAGAAAGTTTTTTGCAAACCATATACATACTACTAGAGCTTAACCATACCATGGAGATCTTGGGCTCAGCCCTCTGGCATACAGCATAGTAGGCCAAGGCCTGAAAATATAGGGTGACACATGGTGGACTGGTCGTAGATCAGGCCTGAAACTCAGGGATCTTATCATTACACCACATGGTCCCGAATCTTATCTACACTGGCACTATGTACTCTGTGGCTTGTGAACCAGTTATCTGGGGATATTTCAGACCAATTAGATTGAAAATAAATCTGAAAATTCTCAAAATCATGTATTTCGTTTTGTAATGGTTTTACTGAATGGTTCCTAAAGTCAAAAACCTCTTGGCCACCTTAGTTTGTAATAATTCAAAATTAAAACTTTACCCTTTTTCAGGGATTTAGCTAAGAAAACTATATTCTAGCATATTATTAAAATGTATCTTTTCAAAAACAAACCAAAAAACCAAACAGGTGGTGACATAAACACTGCAAAAAAATAGGGAACTAAGCCTTAACAGCCCAAGTTCTAGACTGGTACTGCCCAATGGAAAGAGAATAGGAACCACTTCTAGGAACCACATTAAAACAAGCAAAAATAAACCGGTGGAATTAATTTTGATAATATATTTTATTTAACCCAATATATCTAAAATATAATTTCAATATATAATCAATATCAAAAGTAATTAAGGACATTGTTTACTCTCTTTTATTCATACTCAGCCCAGTTTACACATATTGTCCATCTCAATTTAGACTAGCCAAATTTCAACTGCTCAAGAGCAGCATGTGCTACGGTATCTGCCAGCACAGCCCTAGACTTAAAGGTATGGGAGGCTGTAAGGCAGTGGTCTTTGCTTTTCTTGATGCCTCAGTTTTATCATCTGTAAATTATTAAATACCATTATTATAACCATAAAGCTCCTTCTTCTGGGGCCAACTTTCTCTATGGAAAGAACAAGGGCTCTTTCTACGTTATTTCTTTGCTCTCTATATGGTATTTAAAATTTAAGTATAATTTCTCTACACAAATAGAGATATGTGATAGTCCTGGGATAACTACCTATAATACATTTAATTCTGAAAAATTATACTTCACCTTAGATTAAATAGCTAGGTGAAACATTCTGATGGCACACTGGGGATTCTAGTAATTCTGCTAAAAACTGGACACTGTTTTAGTATTTGGCCTACAAATCAGTCTTATCAATTACACAGACAACTGAAGGGCATATCAAATATTGACATTTAAGTAGGCAGAATGATAGAATTCAATTTAGCAATAATATTCCTATGACAACTAGATTAATTACCATGATACTTTTAGAAGTCACAGGGTACCAATGCTGAGAAAACCAGTCTTTCCTACCAAAAAAGAAACCGACTATACAGTGACTGTCTTAAAAAACTTCACAGTAAGGAAATATAAAGCAACTAAAATATTAATTTATGGGCCCAAACATCAAATCAGCTTTTAGTAATACTTGCTCAACTTACCTGTATGAGTCCTTTTGTGAGCCTGGAGTGATTTCTCCCGTGGAAACACCCTATTACAGATGTTACAACGGATTCTGCTGGATGAATGCTCTCCTTCACTTATTAAATCCCGGACAGTATCTGCTCTAGGTCTACCACGTCGGATTCCATCCTATTAACAATTTGTGTAAACGTTAATGTAATTTCTTAGATCCTCTCATTAAAGTAAAATATCACAATAAATCATTGTTTAAATCTTTCTTGAGTGACATCAGTGAATATAGTAGAATAGGTAGTTCCAAAGGCCCATCCCTCCACAGATCACTGAAAAAATTGAGAAAAAACTGTCAAAATCACCTTTATCACAACTCCAGAAAATAGATTTACAGCAACTCAGGGAACACTGAATCAAAACACAGGCAACCTAAAACAATAGGAAAGCTTTGCAGTATTTTTATTCCCTGCCCTTGCCTCTCCCTGACCCCCACCAGTGATCTTGAAGAGCCTTCATTCTCACTCAGTCCCTGGCTCCACAAAGAGCAAAGCAGATTTAATTCTAAAAGAATTGTGTTTGTCTATTTTGACCGGTCAGGGGGCTACTTGAAGAACTAACACAAGGTGTTTGTCTTTGTTTGACCTAATTCAGAACTCTCTCAGGGCAGTAAAGTGGCTAAACAGAGCAGCTCAAAACCTTGTAAGGCTAGGAGCACCGGGATGGCTCAGTCGGTTAAGCGTCTGACTCTTGATTTCAGCTCAAGTCATGATCCAGCTGACTCTTTGGTCCAATTCTTTGGCAGCTCTGTGTTGGCACTGCAGAGCCTACTTGGGATTCTCTCTTTCTTTCTCTCTCAGTCTCTCTGCTACTCATGTGCGCATACTTTCTCTCTCTCAAAAATAAACAAACATAGAAAGAAAGAAAGAAGTCACCATCTTTAAAAGAGAGAGAGAGAGAGAAAAAAAAAAAAAACCTTGTAAGGTTTCAATAATAACTTGCTGCCACCAGGGGCAAAACGTTTCAATTGAGACAAAAGGACACATCAAAAGCCTGGGAGGAAAAGCTGGAGGGAGAGTTTCTTTGCGTAATTAGGGCATTGAAAATTGCCCTGGTATCCTAAAGATAAAAATTTAGAAAGCCACCGACTTGCCCAGGGCAGGAAGCATGCTCAGAAAAGACCTGAAAAGAGCCTAAGCTGTCACCTCTGATCCTCAGCTAGGCACAAGCAGGAAATGAAGGCTAAGACAGAGTTATAATGAGTGTAAGCATTGAGAGAAAGCTACAACACAGAGCCATCTCTGCAAAGTCAGGTATTTGTTCCCTTTCAGTTTTTGCCTACAGGCATTCAAGGCAATCTCTAGCAATCTCTAGCTGAGAACAAACACAACAAATGAGTTTACAAAAATAGTTTAGAAAATTTGCAAACCAGGAGAACCTGGGTGGCTCAGTCAGTTAAGCTTCTGACTTTGGCTCAGTTCATGATCTCATAGTTCATGGGTTGAATACCTGCATCAGGCCCTGCGCTGATAGCTCAGAGCCTGGCACCTGTTTCGTATTCTGTATCTCCCTCTCTCTCTGACCCTTCCCTACTCACTCTCTCAAAAAATAAATAAATAAACATTAAAAAATAATAATAATTAAAAAAAGAAAAGAAAAAGCAAATTTACCAAACAAATAACTACAACCCCCAGCACACAACCAAACCAAACTCTGGGGAAATCACCACAGTAGAATATTCAAAACATCCCATTCTCAACAAAGTATTACTAAACATGTAAAGACACAAAGTATGGTCCATACACAAGAGATATTCATAGAAACAGACCAGGAGGAATTAGATGCAGGTCTAACTAGACAAAGACTTTAAATAAATGGTCTTAAATATGCTGAATGAGGTCATGCAATCCATGGACAAAGGACAAAAGGAAAAATGGAAGAACATTGTTGCAACAAACAGAAAATATCAATAAAGAAACAAATTATAGGGATGCCTGGGTGGCTCAGTCTGTTAAGCATCCAACTCTTGGTTTTAGCTCAGGTCATGATCTCACGGTTTGTGGGTTTGAGCTCCACGTTGGGCTCTGTGCTGACAGTGCAGAACCTGCTTCAGCTCCTCTGTCTCTCTCTCTGCCCTTCCCCTTCTCACACACTCTCTCTCAAAAATAAATAAACATTTTTAAAAAGGTGGGGAAGACACTTGGGTGGCTCAGTTGGTTAAACATCCAACTTCAGCTCAAGTCATGGTCTCACAGTTCGTGAGTTTGAGTCCAATGTTGCAGGCTCTGTGCTGAAAGCTCAGAGCCTGGAGCCTGCTTCAGATTCTGTGTCTTCCTCTCTGCCCCTCCACCACTTGCGTGCGCTCTCTCTCTCTCTCTCTCTCTCTCTCTCTCTCTCAAGAATAAATAACCATTAATTTTTAAAAAAAAATTTTTTTTCAACGTTTTTATTTATTTTTGGGACAGAGAGAGACAGAGCATGAACGGGGGAGGGGCAGAGAGAGAGGGAGACACAGAATCGGAAACAGGTTCCAGGCTCCGAGCCATCAGCCCAGAGCCTGACACGGGGCTCGAACTCACGGACCGTGAGATCGTGACCTGGCTGAAGCCGGACGCTTAACCGACTGCGCCACCCAGGCGCCCCACCATTAATTTTTTTAAAAATTATAAAAAGAAACCAAATAGAAATTCTGGAGCTAAAAAAAAAAAAAAGTATGATGACTAAAATGGAAAAATTCACTAGAGAATTTGAATGGCAGATTTGAACTGGCAGGAAGAAAGAATCAGCAAATTTGAAGACTAGTCAATTGAAATTATCCAGTCTGAGGAACTGAAAGAGAAAAGAATGGACAGAGCCCAAGATACCTGTAGGACATCAAGTGTCTTAGTCCATTTGGGCTGCTATAACAAAATACCACAGACTGGGTAACTTACAAACAACAGAAATGTGTTTCTCACAGTCCTGGAGGCTGGAAAGTCCAAGATCAAGGCACCAGTATAGTCAAGTGAGGGCCCTCTTCCTGGCTCATAGATGGTATCCTCTAGCTATGTCTTCACATGGGAGTTCTCTGGAGCCTTTTTCAGAAAGGCATTAATCCCCATCAAGAGGGCACCACCCTCATGATACCACCTCCCAATGGCCCCACCTCCTAACAGCATCATCTTTTGGCAGTCAGAATCTCACCACACAAACTTTGGGGTGCATAAACACTCAAACTATAGCATCAAGCATACCAACATACACATAATTGGAGTCCCAGAAGGCAAGAAAGAAATGGGCAGAGAGAATATTTGAAGAAATAAGGGATGAAAACTTCTCAATTTTGATAAGACATAAGTGTAAACATCTAAGAAGCTCAAAGAACTTCAAGAAGGATAAACGCAAAGAAAGATCACTCTGAGACACATTAGATCAAACTGTCAAGAGACAAAAGGCAGAGAATCATGAAAACAGGAGAAGCAATTCATCAGTTACAAGGAGTCCTCAAGAAGATTAAAAACTGATTTCTCAGGAGAAACTACAGAAAGCAGTAGGATGACATGTCTGAAGTGCTGAAAAGAAAAAAAAGTCAACCAACAATCTTATATCCAACATGATTATCCTTCAAAAATGAAGAAGAAATTAAGACATTTCCAGAGAAACAAAAGTTGAGTTCATGGCTAGTAGACCTGCCCTACAATAAATCTAAAGGAAGTTCTTCAGGCAAAAATGAAAGGACACCTGACAAAGTCAAAGCCATACAAAGAAATAAAGAACCCCAGTAAAGGTATTTACATAAGTAAATACAAATGCCAAAAGTATTGTATTCAGGGCTTGTAACTCTTCTTTTTCTCCTATATAATTTAAAAGACAATTGCCAGGGGCACCTGGCTGGCTCAATCAGAGGAACATGCGACTCTTAGATATTGGGGTCATGAGTCTGGGCACCACATTGGGTGTAGAGATTGCTTAAATAAATAAACAAACAAACAAACTTTAAAAAAAAAAAAAAGGCAAATGCCAAATGTATTTTAAAAATTATAAATCCAGGGGCACCTGAGTGGCTCAGTCAAACATCTGACTCTTGATTTGGGCTCAGGTCATAATCTCAGTGGAGGGTTCAAGACCCATGTCAGGCTCTGAGCTGACAGCATGGAGCTTGCTTGGGATTTTCTCTCTCCCTGTGTCTCTGCCCCTTCCCTGCTTGCACTTTCTCTCTCAAAATAAATAAATAAACTTAAAAAAAAAATTATGAAAACTGAGCACCTGGGTGGCTCAGTTGGTTAAGCATCGACTTCAGCTCAGGTCATGATATTGAAGTTCTCAAGGTCAAGCCTGCCTTGGGCTCTGTGCTGACAGCTCAGATCCCGGAGCCTGCATTGGATTCTGTGTCTCCCTCTCTCTCTTCCCCTCTCCTGTTCATGCTCTGTTTCTCTCAAACATAAATGAGCAATAAAAAGAAATTATAAATCCATGTTAGTGAGAACATAATGTAAGAATATGTAATTTGTGACTATAACAAAGAGGGAGAGACAGAGCTGAATAGGAGCAGAGTTTTTGTACACTATTGTAGCTAAGGTGGTTATTAATTCAAAATATATTGTTTTAAATCTAAGAGATTAATTGAAATTCCCAGGGCAGCCAGTTGAAAAAACAAAAAACAAACAAACAAAAACCCTAAAAATCAAGAAGAAAACAAGAAAGATATGAAAATAGTACACTACAAAGAAGGCAGTGAGAGGAACTGAGAAATGAAACAGGTAGAAGACATACAGAAAACAGATAACAAAATACCAAAAGTTCTTCCTTAACAGTAACCACTTTAAATATAAATAGATTAAAATCACCAATTAAAAGGCAGAGATGGGCAGAATGGATTTTTCAAAAAACGGTCCAACTATATGCTGCCTCCAACAGACTTCTTTAGATCCAAAACCACAAATAAGTTAGAAGAGTTAGAAGAGAATAGCATGGAAAGGAGGGGCTCCTGGCTGGCTCAGTTGGTAGACCATGTAACTCTTGATCTCAGTGTGGTGAGTTCAAGCACCACCTTAGGCCTAAAGCTTACTTAGAAAAAAAAAGAACGGAAAAAGGGATAACAATTATAAACACTCACCTAACAACAGAACCCCCAAAATGCATGAAGCAAAAATTGACAGAATTGAAAGGAGAAAGAATTCAAAATAGTTGGGGTCTGACTT